AATGAAACTTTTAACATCCATCACCTGAGGCACACTAATGTTAAACAAAATTGATCCCTGCGCATTTCTGAGTGCACTGTTCATTTCCTTCTAACCCAATATTTCCTGTGAACTGCTTTGTGCCTTTCCAAATGCAAAATGACTAAATGAAGTTCCATTCAATTAAGTCCTGTCAGCACTCCACATGCATAACATCATCCATCTTGGCTTAGAGGGCAGGGCTCGAAATACTTTTGCTGCACATCTGCACTGATGCAGGTAACATTGAAGCTTACCTGGACCAGACTGATTTTCCCTGCACCAGTCAAAATTTAGGAAGTACGGATCGTACTCAAAACTGTTCAGACAACATTGTCATTATGCTTCTTCTAAACTTCATTCAAAATGTAGTTGGTGCCAGTCAATACGCAAATAAATCCACCTACGCTGATTCCACATAACCCAGTAAATGTACCAGCACAGGTATTATTAGAAATACCTGCACTGATGCTTAACTGAACATGTAGGAGGTATTTCGAGCCCTGGACAGAGGACATCATACTGTGTAAACTAGTATAAACATGGCATTTTCAAGACTTCCTGGTGGTAGGCAGGGCCATGGCCAAAGGAAGGAAGTGATCAAATTATGCTTAACGAGGCCAAGAATCTTCTTGATTGCAAGATGACTGTGTGGCAGAGGTCTATGCTCTTTTTGTGCCTGCTCCAGTTTTATGATGAAGTTGCCCTTATCAAGCAGACGAGAAGTGGCACAGTGCCCTGATTTTTATTATACTCAGGAACCCGGGAGACTCAACAGCCGTTTTAATATTCCAGTCAGAAGAAACAGGCTGTAACTTTATTCTACCTGGCTGTGGCATGCACTTTCATGCTACAGGAGGTACCAGACAATGCATTACTCCCACTACGGCTTTATTGCGAGCCGGCGTACCACTTTACGGGACTGAATTATAACTTTGCTCTGACAGATTGACGATGGATTGTGGTCAGGTTAGCGCCAATTGGGATAATGCCACGATATGTGGCCCTCTCTTTCCTCCCTAGACGGAAAATCCATAACTGCCAGGACTTACGTTAATTAAACAAATGACAACCCCAGTTAAGTATACTGCCGGCTAACGTTTAGGGCTACTACTGGGTATGGGTGCTTTAGACTGGTTGTTACAAGAGACCACAATATCATTCTGCCGAGTGCAATCAATAGACAGAACTTTGAGCAACTTTCTCTTGATTAAACAAAGTACCAAGCAATTACCCTTACGTAGAACCCAATGTCTTCTATTCAATCAGTCATAAACCATTTCCAGATGGAATCGTGTAGGGCACGGGACCTTTTGTGGTTGCCGGAGACAAACAATACTGTTACACTTGGTCTATTCTTGGACATCTGCCATGACATTAACTTTCAGAGATTAAAAAATAGCCAGCTAAATTTGTAGGGCAATGTCCTTGGTCTAGGGTTGGGAAAGTGTTATATAGAGTCAAATAATACCCCTAATAAATATATCTGATTCTGAAGTGATGTAAGGGGAGTTTTGGTCATCAAATCTTTGTAGTCTTAGCTTACTTTGGCAGGGATACATTTTGATATTGAGCGGCTAAAAAGTATACCATCATTTTGTGTACTTGTAGTAAATGTAATTGTAAGTTTTCCTGGGTCCTCTTTATCCAATTACAGAACACACCACCCTATCAAGCCTCTATCTCATTAGCTGAGTAGCCTTGACTTGAGGAAGTTTTGAGTGTCCTGGGAAGGTGATTATCAGAGTGCCCTGGGAATGTGAATATCTCTACCTGTGCAGTCAGAGATTAGGGCTGTTGGAATTTGGTAACAATTGCAACAATGCCTTTACTTGTTTCCTAAGGGAAATATAGTCTTGACAGTGCAGTTTCTTGTGAAAGATATTTTCCTGATTGCTGTATGTACAAACTTAAGTAGGTCCTCTGACGAACTACTTGTATATAGCTATTTTCCCCCAAAGACTGGGATGTATGCTGAGTCCCTGTACTTTTGCCATGTGAGTAAAGTTCCCCTGTAATCCCTCTCTCCCCATTCTCTAAATAACATAGTCATTTGCAAAATCCATTCCCAGCCTGAGGATTTCTCTTGCGTCCAGAGGGGGACTCAAGTTTCCAGAATTCCAATCTCCTGGCAGGTTTCATAGTCGTCCTGGATAGCAAGGTTCCATCTAATGGCATCCAAGCTATCCCAGAAGGCCGCTGGGCAGCAGCATAAAAGAAGATCATGTGACGATTTAGCAGTAGAAAGTGTCTGAAAGACTGATGCTTCTGGGGAAAAACTGTCAAGTCAGGACGGTCTGGGGACAAACTACACACAAACACACTGAGAATTTCTAGTAGTGTTTAAAAGTAGAAAATTGAAGGGGGGAGGCAAGAGCCTTGGGACCAAACTTGTATTTATAGAAATAAACATAGGTTTGTTTGGCTTTGGGACTAGAAATAAACTCTTTTGGGGCTGGACTATGTCAGAGGACACCTCAGTTAGGGCCAGTTTGGGACCCAAAGCAGGAAGAACAACAAACATGAGACCTTTTGGGGGTAGAGGACACTGACAAGCAGTCTATACTTTACACCACCTTGTCTACATTACCAGAGGATGTGAAAGAGTTTTCAGGTTTATTTCAATCTTTAGAAAAAAAAGGAAGTGGATAGTGACAAAATTAAGATTCTATTTCTTACATTCAACGTCATGGATTTTGTAAGTTTGCTTTCTGAACTGTTTTGAAAGAGAACATTCCCTGGGGAAGTTTAGTTTTATTTAAGAGTAAGTTTAAGAGTAGTTTTATTAGCTTTCTTAATCAGATCAAAATTCCACATTAGGCATAGATTGATAACCTGAGGTAACTTAAGTATTGAGGTGAAAAATTACACCAATGATCAGTCAACATCCTTCCAAACTACATTTTTAACTTGCCACAACAGAATGAAATAATGTGATTATCACTTTCCCATTCTAGCCCCAAGGAAGACTCTGAAATGAAATGTATGTGATCAATTTATAAGGAATCCTACAAGAAGAATTTCTAGGCAAGTAAGACACACTACACTGTCATCTAAAAGATCCTTTGACCCCTTTGACCTCTATTTGCGGACAGATGATATCAGAACTTTGGCAAGACCACTGATATATGTCACCTGTCCACAATACCACAGGTATGCGACTAGGGTCGGAAGGTTACACAGAAAGGACCACAAATACTGGAAGAGGATAATGGTCTCTCCTAATGTGTGAAAGCTGCTCCAGTCTACCTGGTACAGCAGACCAATTACACCCACCATTTTTGTTCTGGCCTAGTCCATTTTGGAGGTGTGTGGTAGGTAGGCCAAGAAACTACCAGTGTTTGGTCATTTGGAGCTAATCAATGTGCCAATGCACCATTATAGCAACTCACTGAGCAGAAAATGAATAAAATTTGTTGCTACTTTCCTCAATAAATAGTGTGAAGTAAATATCTCTTGGGACATTCTGGAGTCAAACTGCATTTGAACAGCTTGGCTACACATTTTGTGTTCGGGTCTATCTTGTAGGAAGCAATTTAACCGTCTGCCAAAATTGTCATGCTAAGTAAGAGAGTGATCTCTCTTTCCTAATGAATGATATCTAAATGTATTATATCTCATTAAAATTTCAATCATACTCATTTGATCACGAGCATAGAGCTCAGCAACTGACGCCACTTTGATTAGCGTGTTTACAATGATTACCATAATTCGTTTCCATGGATAATTTTTCTAACTTGCACCTCAAATTATAGACTAAACTTTTAACAAGAACAGCTATAGACTGATATAAATGATGTTACACATCATAACATAACTGATTTTGCCATATACATGCTCTGTTACTACTTCAGCTTTTTATCATTTTTATAACGATCATTGAAACGTATTATCGTTATATATCAAGGCCTTTTCTGGTTCTGACTGTTTTCAGTTAAAATAACCATGGAACCTTTCCAAATTCTTACATACCGAAACTGTAGAGGCCTTTTCCCCCAGGGGGTTCCCTTTGAGCAGAAACCTATTATAAAGGTAATCAAACTTAACGATCACCGGACCAGCGACAATTATTAATCAATACTGTGGCTGCAGTGCAGGAAATATACTTCTCCATGGACAGCTGTTAACCTAAAAACGTTAGGCTAGATGAAACATGAGTTTTACTTCCTTTTAGGATTTCTGTATTACTGTTGTTGTCATCTTGGGACCTGTAGAAACAGTCCTAAATAGGTTGACGCTTTACCCACTTGTAAAGACCCTATGCCCCACCCCCAAATCAGTAACATGTGGAAGCAATAGGCTACATATTTGGGAAGTACCACACAACTGGCCTTGACTGTTCCAATTGTCTGGCTAATCTATTCCACATTCTCAAGTTTGACCTTGTTGTCTTGGTCACCTACAGGGAAAACTTGATACTGGAAGAGGAATCCCTACATTCCCCAAAGGAGATATTAGGAAACAACAGGTTGAATTTTTATTTCTGATAAAATCTGTACACATAAAGCCTGTAAAATTTTATGGCCTTATCGAAATTATCATTTTTTTCACTACAAGATTCCTAGGGAGGTTGAATAATTTTGCTCTGCTTTAAGTATAACTTGACCTAAGTGGCTTGTCATTGAGATAAAAGCTTTTCTGATAAACTTTTCTGATACATGAAGAGTCCTTGAAGGAATTGATTTTCATTTCTAAACCTCCTTTTATGACAGAATGCTCATCTCTTCAAACACATACTGTAAATCGTGAAACTTTTAGCATTGGTTTCATTTTCTTCTAGACCTCTCCACTGCAATTTTATGATTCCTCAAATTTGTCTTACTTCTATGATTACTGTACTACAGAATCGTTTCAACTGTGAATTTAAAACAGTGAAAACCTCCCTTTACCTCCTTACAGCAAAATAAAACCATCGCCAATGTTTCACGATTTACAGTACAGTAATATTCAGTATACAAGGAGGGCGGAGAAAGCACACTCACCGATGGCACGAGTAGCTTCTTGACTTCTTCTACAGCCCTCTGTAGCTTGATGCGTGCTCTGGATTCACAGTCCTCCACTGTGATCAGGACATGCAGCTCATCGTTCAGGTGCTCCCAGTTGGGCTTGCCTCTGTTCTGCTCCTCCTGGAGAAAAGAAAAGAGAAGGAAGAGCAACTTGTTAACATATATGTGCATATAGATATACTGTTAGCTTTTTCATTCAATGATGTCCTGGTTGGTAAGGATGAAAAGGTGGTTGCTCCTGAAATCATTTCATAAAGTTTCTCATATGTTCTATATTTTATTGTTGTAATGTTCTGTCATTTTAAGGCAAACAGAGTCAAAGTCAACGTCCCAATCTTCACAAAATCCACTAACAACAGCTTCTACTCTTCTAGCTCAGTGGAGATTCTATTGATTGTTCCAAGTGTGTTCTTTACTAATCATGAATATTATGGCACTCTTTTTGAGGTGACCAAACTGGATTTAATGCCTTTACTTTAGTATAAATAATGCAATAATACCTTGATAAATATGCTTGCACAACTTATGTTATAAAGAATACTTTGTGTTCCAGCAAAGAAAAGTATTGTTTTGCAACTCACTGACAGAAAAAGTCTTTTTTTTAATCTCTCTACAAATGTACCCCCCTCCCCCTCAAAAACAGAGACACTTTTAAATCAGGGCCACTGTTACACCACACTGAGGTATGCCACACAAAGCATACCTGTAATGTACCACACAGGAAAATAGACAACCACATATGTGCCAAGATAGCCCCAGGCTGTTGTTGTTACCTTACCTGGGCATGAGTGTGCGGGGGATGTTGTTCTTGTCATTCTACTGGTTAGCAAGCTAACACCTGCCAGGCTTTCTAAGAAAGAGATATGCCTTACACTTGAGTTGTTGTGAATGGATCTAACTTGGGCTTGTTCTTAGCATAAGTCTACAATCTACGAATGTCTACAATCAAATTTAGGTCAGTAAGATCAGGGCTGGACAAGTTTTCAAAAATCCACTTGCCCTATTGGGCAAGTACATGGTCATTTCTACTTGCCCGAACCAACTTTTCACTTGCCCAATGCAAAATATAAATGACGTGCATTTTTACCGCAAGGAAATTTTTTCAGTAACTTTAAGCATGCTATATTGCTCTATGCTTGACCAGCATTTCCCAAAGTAAGGAGGTTTGAGACTTGCAAATGGTTCTCTGACAAAAAGTCATATTATGTGAATATACTACGCGAAAATGATGAGAGATTTTGCTCCAAACACTGGGGCATAATGCCACATCCCAAAAATGTACTTGCCCAATCGGGCAAGTACAGAGGGATATTCACTTGTCCGAACAGTACTTTTACTTGCCCTGGGCAAGTGGGCAATGGGACTTGTCCAACCCTGAAGATACATGCATACAGGTGTATATGCATACAGGTGTATGTTTAAGGGTGTGTTGTGTCGACAATTAAATGCATCCCCTAAGGACCCAAAACAGGGCGTTTCCTTCTAAGAAACTTTGTGACCTAAATGGCGAGGTGTGGTGAATAAAGGAAAATTGCTTCTAATCCTTGAGGTGACTCTTACTTTACTCCAAAACCTTCTAATAGTTATATGTACCCACTAATAAGCAAACAAACCCATAGAAAAATGGAAATGGCCAGTGATATGACATAGATTTATTTTATGTAACACATTTAAGGCAGATGAGGTCATTTATTTCTGATCAGGGGAAGGCGGAGTCAGTTCATCACCCTGAAAGAATGATGGAAACATCTCTGAATCTGACAGAGAGAGATGAGCAGAATTTTGCCATATGGTTAACTTGCATTTGCTTTCAATCTCTGTGGGCAACATTTTCTATTATGTTACCACTTTGGAGTTACTCTGAAAGTTGCACAGTCTCGGGGGTGTCCCAATTTGCATAGTATATGGTCACTAAAATAACTGTGTTTGAGTCCATTATTTCACAGTCTAGCACCTCTTTAGTACAGCCCCCTTTAGATTGGTTATTGTAAACTCTTGAATCAAATCATTATTTCTGGTGAGAAAAGTACATGGCAAGTTGGCGATCAGCTCTACAAAAGGCTTACTAGTACCAGTAGTGGTGTATAAATCTCCATAGTAAAATCCCTAATAATTTGTGTAATAAAAGTAATGAAAAGATTTATGTTCTTTATTATACACAGGCACCTCCTACTGCAGCTGTTTGACACTATAGAGGAGTTATTTATGACTTTTCCATGACACCTTTCTTGAAAAATTAGGTCAGGTGATCTCAGGAGGTTTCAGTTCAGGGTCAATGACCAGGATCCAATTTGATATATGTGGTGCAGCCTCCTCAACCTTGAAGTGGTTCCAATAGACCTTTCTGAAACACCTTCTACATTGTGAATTACAGGTCAAACACTAGCTTGCATGCAAACTTATGCAGTAAAAGGAGCTACGATATTAACTTCTACTTAGAACAAGTCAGAGGTTCAGACTTCTAGGAAGGACTTATTTTATGCTCCTAATACAATATTTGGCTTCCTGAATTCCAGCTGGCTTAATGAAACCTTTGACTGCCTGTTATTCTGCCTGTCAATCTTCCCCAACCCATGTGCTGTCAACCTACTCTGTCCAGACAAGCAGATACACATACACATACCCACAGCTCAGCCACCCAAAACAATACTTCTATACCCAAACGTAATTTATCAAGTGACCCCAGCCAATTATTTCTTGGACTGTTACCTATTACTTCTTTGATAATATTTTGAAAACAAAGAATGGCATGTTAAAATAGTCGGCTTTAGAGTCCATTCCAAGTCACCGTGCAGGTTTTTTAATCATATTTCTAATATTTTCCAATTAGTTTCAAATAATTCAAAAATATTATTAATATTCTGAAATTATTATAAAAAATGGAAGTACCTGAGTAGCATGTTTTCGAAAATGTTAGAATCATTTGCAAAAATTTTGAAAGTGGCAATCAAATGGGATCTTAATTTCAAAATGTTTACAAACACAATTTGAAATTCGAAAAGTTTCGAAATTTTTCGAAAAGAAGATTGCCTGTTATCAATCAAGCGCTAATCCCCGATCCACAGGCGGCTGTTTATGTTTAGACCTCGCGCGGCGGGACGTCCGCGGCCATCTGGACGGGCGGATCGCAGTTTTTCCCAGCGCCAGCCTTGTCGGCGATTTTCTACAGCGCGTGCTTCGTATTTTCGTCGGTTTTAACAAGCTTCAGCTTATTTATCGGGCTTGATTTCTAGCGCTGTTTTGTGTTTTACCGGCCAATGTTAGCGCGGTGCGTATATATATGGAAATGGCCCATGGAAACCCAGCTCGGTACGCTGACTTCCGGGTATCGCGGGTTTATTTTTATCTGGCTCGAACAACAAAATTACACTACAAATCGGCGCATAGAAATTGTCCCGAAAAATTCTTTTAGAGTCTAATCACCCTTTCTTTGATAGGATGTTGCTAAGTAGTCGTAGATAAAACGTAGAAAGCAGCGAAAATGTGCCTCTTCGCGCGGCCGGCTCGATATCGCTTATCCAATCGGAACGCAGGTCATGTGAGGTGAACCAATCAGAGCGCTGCTATTTACATATAAAAATGGCGCACGCATGGTTTTGTACAGCGATGTTGAGAACAAGTTTTTTATACCGGGATTTTCATAGTTTTGACCGATTTTTTTGGCACGCCGTGATTACGCTACAAATGACACACTAGAGGAGACAACAGATGAGTGATCATTTTACAATCGACGAGAACTTTTGATGAATGAAACAGGAATGAAATCTTGCTGATTGCGATTTGTTTTTGAAAATTTGTCTCGTGTTTGTAACGTTCACTCAAGGAGGTTCTTGGTTTTAACCGTAACATGAAAGATATGAACACGCTTCTGTACATATCTTGAGGTTTTTTGACGTGATTTGAACTAGTGTGGGGGAAGTTGGGGGGAAGGCAGTCGCGGGGGGGAAGCGGAGAGGCTTGATAAATTTTCGAGAGCAAGTTCCGCGCACTGGATTTGATTTCTCACGCGGCCGTTTGGGTGGGTGTTTGTTTACATTATCGCTGGTCGCTGAGGGTCGGGCAGCCAGATTCGCCACGGGATGCCCCTTGTCCTTTCTATTTTTGGGCTGCAGTCGGCTAGAGGGGATTAGTGATTTCACAGATCATTTAGCCAATTACAAACATTTCGAAACTTTTCGAAAAAATGGTATTCACGCGAATTCTTTTATTAGAATTCTTTCGAAACATCGTACATGGCTTTTAGAATGTTTCGAATGATTTATGATTAGGGAAAACTGTTTACGAAGTTAAAACCAAGTTCGAAATGTTTAAAAACTATGAAATTCTTTTAGAAATGGTTACAAACATTTCAAAAAAATTCGAAACAATGGGAGAAAACACCCGCGCGGTGACGTGGAATGGACTCTAATCCACAAGTACAAATCTTTACCAGCTGTATTTAGAAAAATGCAATAGCTTAGTAGTCTAGTTCTCACGATGCTATTAGGAGCATATAATAAGTATAACGTGATGACAGTGGCAGAAGTTTTTTGATAGCACAAGTTGTTTGTCATCCTTCTTATCTCATTGTTACAGATAGAAAGTTTGTCACAAACTACAATAAATATCAGGAGATCAACCTCCACAAATGCAAGTTGTACAGTCAATAAGGGGCTTTAGAGGAGAACTCATTTTTCAGGTATCTATCATGCTTGTAATATATGCTTTCAGAACACTCGAAGTTGCAACAGTTACATTTGACAGGAAAGCAATTTTCTATAGGCCACGTTGAAGTTAGTCTTACTTCCTGTCTTGTTCTCAAACTTTCATTTAAACTTTTTGAGATAAGAACTCGCCATTACAATCACAAAAGGAACATGTCTTCACTGTCAAGTCATGAATTTGAGAAAGTGGAGGGGACATATCTACTGTTTCAGCTGGGGAGATTGTAGAGGTATCCTTTCACTCAACTATGGCAAAATGAGAGTGTGTTGCTTGCTCCCTACCCCTGCATTTTGCAATCCAGAAATGCCTTGTACCAGTCAACATCTCCTGTATACACAACACTTGAAGTGGTGTCCCTGTAAGGCTAAGGGTTGACATTCCTCTTGTAGCCACAAGTATCCCACCTGAACAATGCACTTGTGGCCCGCAGGTAAACTTGAACCTGTCCTTTGTTGTCACAAGAAAACCTAACAAGGAAATTAGAGCTCTGATTTTAAGTTGTCAACAAACTCGAGTTGATTTTGTAACAATTTTGGTGAAAAGTTGGGGCTTTCTATGGATGTGCAAGGTTCTGTATGTGCGAAGTCTATATGTACTTGCAAAGTTAGAAAAAAACAAATCTATATTCTTTTTAACATAATTTTCCTAACCATTTCTTTACACTACAGAAATTCTTTCTATCTTCATTCTTTTGGTTTGGAACTCTAGAATTTTGGATTCAGAGGCAACATTTGGAATGGCAGAGAATAGACTAATCTTCTCAATGTGGACATTCCTGGTGACAAATTCAGTAGTAAGATTACACATGGACGAAATTGCCAACCAAACTCATTGGGACCACAGCTGGAGTGGTTGTCAAATATTTGTCCAAACAGTCTCCATTTCAGACCTTGTGCAGATTTGGTGCTTAGCTGGTTTGTTCAGCCCTGCACACCAGCCCTTCCGGTATGCTTATCAATTAGCCAGACAACAGAGGCTGATTGCAGGTGCAAATAAGCACGTTTACTGAAGACCTCGCCACTTTTGGAGGTGCGAACAGGCATGCAAATAGTGGACTCAAATTTTATCAAAGAGATATGAATTGTGATACAAATACATTTCATCAATTTTCTGAACATTGTCTGCTCCAACTTGCAGCTAAGAATATAATACAAAACTGTGTTATGAAATTGCATGTTGTACATGTGTAAAACATGTCACATTGAATGATTGATTTTTCAGTATCAGGTAAAAAGGGAGATTCTATAAATCAGCTGAGAAGCTAGAAGGCTAGTTTCATTTAGTTTCATTTAAACCTATACTTTTGACAGAAACAGTATCTTGTGTGGCCTTGTAACAAAAGATGTCATGTGGCCCACTACTTCCTCCAAGTGACAACTCAAAATACACAACACAAAGAGAGAGGAGGTTGCTGGATTTGGTCTGTGTTTGCCTAGCTATTTGTTTCTTTGATAGTCTAAACTCGGTGCATCTCAACCAAACTGCAGGCTACATTGTGTGGAAGTAGAACGAGAAAGGGTGGGTGGGCACGCCGGATCAGACACTTATCAGCTGGCTGAATACTGTCTGCTGGTGCGGTGCGCTGAAGGGGGTCAACTTTTGTTCTCCTTGTTTAGAACTCCGTCATCCGTACCCTGCCATCATGGTCACTGCCAGTGAATGTGAAAACAGGCTGGCCAGGGACATGGTCACTGCTTCAAGCTTTCTTTCCAAGATGTGACCGAATTATACACAAAGTTTCATTAAAAGTTGTGCCAGCTTGCACTTGTTGTTCATGAACTTTACAACAAATACTGAATCTGTCTTGTTTTCTTGCTAAATCTCTCTCCAACTAGGTCTTAATACTGAAGAACTGTTCTGTAAACATAGCAGTCTTGGTGACCTTGAAGCCAGACATCCACATAGTACAGACTTGAGAGAAACAGCCATCTGAAGGCTAGTTGCCACCAAAGAGTTTACAGTTACAGTTTGTTCTGATACCTCCTATTGGTCCTTTGTAGATGCAAGAGTCTTTTCTTACACTCTGTAAATATTGCCTTTCGCCAAAAGGGTGTCCAGTTCTATTTGAAATGATGATCCGATTACAATAGCCAATGAACAAACAGGTAAGGTAACAATCTCACCTGCAATCAACAAACGCAAGACAACAGGCCAGGTTATCTTTACTAAGAAAATCGAGAGAAGGTGCTTTGTTATTCAAATGACTGCCATGCTGTATTTTGTAAACATATCTAGTGTTGCCTGGTCTTTCAACTACTGCCAACACAGACGACAACATATTACCACAGCTTAAGCTTTTTCCTGTTCTGTTTCTCCTGTCTATCTCTGTTTTTCTGACTATACAGGCACTAAGAACCCTGAACAAACTAGATTTTTCAGCAAAAACAAAGAATACTCCTGTCTTCCTTCAGCTACCCTCAGTTATTTTCCATTGTCTTAACACAAGTGGGGAATTTACTTAAGCAACAACAAAGGACATAAAATGGCTGTGCTATTCAACTGAGCAGGCAAAGCATGACCCTTGCATGACCCTGTTTTTAGCCAATCAAAAAACATGTTTCAGAACTTTTACCTCTGTTGACAACTTGGTCAATTCAGTCCACAGATCCCTTATTTTCTCACATGTTTTACAACTGTAAGATACCAACTTTTTTGTGTTTGTGTGCTTTCTTGTCTGGAGAGTTGGTTGACAGTTCAGTAAAACATTTTATTTGCAAATCTCTCTCTTCGTCGTTTCTTACCTTCTTCTTGTCCCTCATGGATCCCTTTCCCCGCACCATGATCTTACAGCCTGTCTCTGCTTCCAGCTGCTTGGCAGTCATTCCCCTCGGCCCCAAAATCCTTCCCACGAAGTTGAACTGCAGGAACAGAAAGATAATAGACGATCAATATGGATCAGAAAAAAATGTCAGCATGAAAATACCTTCAGTTTCATAGTCTCAACCAGGCTTCAGGAAGTAAATAGACAGATAACATGCCAGGAGAGTTGGTCCACTAAAGAGTACAGTTTGTTGCTCCCAAGAGCTTTTCTTGGCCAATTTCTACTCTTTCCAGTCACTTCCCAAAGCCTGGTAGAGTTCCAATTGCTTCCCAAAGCCTGGTAGAGGCTACAGATTCACACCAGTGGTATTTAGATTAAAACCAGATAACTCAGCCTCCAGTCTAACACATCTGCATGGCTTCTTCTCCGTTAAATATTACTATTCTAGTCATTACCTTGAGCTACACATCATTGCCAGTGCCCACAGCCCGATAGCTGCACTTCATATCTACTATCAAAGCTGGTATTGTTGGTCCATTCAACCGTCAATGTGTAAAAACACGGCCGATAGCCTTTACCAACTCAGCCTTTACCAACTCCGATTGGGATCAGTATACTCCAATAAACCATAACCCTGATCCAAACGTGAGAGCGTTAGCAATATGCCCCACATTCTGTGCACAGCAGACCCATTGGCAGTATGAAATTGTTATGCCTCTATGAATGTGAGAGCCTCCGGTGTGTAATGTACATGCTCTCCACAGCCCCCCTGACTCCCCTGTTGCGTATTGATGTTTCTATAACCTCTTCTTTTGTGGCTGTGCCACCGTCACAAGGCCAGTTATCCACGGTCTCCCGAGCCGCTCTAACTGCTCCACTCAGTGAGGTATTGATTTATCGACTCTACGATAACCCGCCCGTTACAAAACCCCGCCAGCGCGCTATCATCCCTAAGATAGGCATATGTACACGTCCAGTGAGAGGGAAGAATCGGTAGCCATTCCGTCGGTTGTCTCCCAGCCAATTTGTCCGCCCGCTGATATCGTGAGATGGACAAGAGGAAAATTGAGAGGTCTATTAATTAAATGGACGGAGGAACAGACGTTTCAGCTAGATCAATACCCGCAGATTATCATCAATAAATGCAATCTGGGTAAAATGAATTAGAGCCATAAAGCCCCCATTTTTCAGGATATCCCGGCATAGCGTAGCGCTGTGCCAATGCTGCGGTGATGCTACACAAATTTTAATGGTGATACCATCTCGCATGGAAATCCTTTCGTTCCAGAACTGCGCCGCGAGCTTATCTTATCGTGACAAAGAAACGGCAGCGGGGAAACGCGGAGGTCCCCCACCATGATTACCTGGGTAAACTGCTCATTTCCGCACGGTATATTCTATTTCGTTCCGCCAGGGTTATTGATCCGTTGTCGGGGCGGGGGGACAATGGATACTGATGAGATCCTCATGTTAATGCCCGGCACAGTCATTTTCTGCCTCTTCAATATTCCTCAACTAGAGATAGTCCGTAATTGCAGGAATTACCACGACGCACATAAAACACTTTTGTCCCGGACTTTTACAACACAATTCCGTCTGTTGACTGAGATTGAATACTCAATGCTTACGGGTCAGTGTGACCGAACTATAAAATCTTCCTGCCTTCAAAAGCACAGTATGCAGTATGGTTAACAAGCAGGGGCAATGAAATATACGGTAACTTTCCCCTAGAGGAAACAATTAGCCTACTGATAATGTCACATTTCTTCCAATCACAGTAGCTGTAAAATTTTCATTACCGAGTAGGGTTAACGAGGATAGTCTGATGGACGTAATGCCCGTTCTATTGCGCTCCGAACATCGGAGGGTAAGCCCCCGCCACAAAGACGATTTCATCGTCGGGATTTAACGGGTGTAATGATGATAACATAGCGATTGACCGCAGGTGTTGCGACAAAAGTTAGTGGGGAAGTGATTTTGTTGTGAACTCTGCCCCCAATTTACCTTTGCGATGGGGGACTATCGGAGCGCTGAATTGCCTGAGACGGCGCCGTTTCGACAGCTGGGTCCTGGGACCTGCGAGAGTTCCGCACTGCTTTTTACAACTTCTCCAAGGTGTAAACACATCGTAAAAGCCCTGCTGTAATGGTGTAATGACCAGATAGCATATTACCTCAAAGCCTTGGAATGTGGATAAAACATCTTTCATGATCGAAATAAAAGGATGTCTTTACAGGGACGGCTGTAAATTAGTGATTTTGTTGCCGTGTTGGAATGGTGAACTGCAAGTAGCAGAGACTAGAAATAATTTTTGAACACTATATAATTCACATATACAAGAGGAGGCATAGGTCTCTAATTTTTCATGTAGTACCGCTTTTCAGTGCTGACAAAAATATGTTTTACCAAGTGATGAAATGGCAGACAGAAGAGTAGAGGCCATTTTATAAACCTACACAGGTCAACATCAAGTAGTTAATTTCGCTTGATTCTCATGTCCTTGATGAACTTGAGGGGAATGCGTCAGTTGAAGTCAATGTCACACGAACCTTCACCAGTAATAGTCGTTAAATATATTAAGAGTTAAACTTGGCTGTCCTCCAAGGCCGCCTTACAAGGGTGCATTGAGGGAAATACGGGTGCTCGTGTTTCCCTATAAAAATTCCGAAACACGAAAAGAGATGTACACTACATAGTTTGGCGATGATATCAAAAGTTCAATTAAGGACAGGCATTTATGATGCCCCAAATTGAACGTGTCATGCTATTCTTATTATTTTAGTCTTTTTAATAGGTAGGTACGAAAGGTCAAGGATATTCAAGCCTCTGCAAAGAGTAGAAAATTTGAGCGAGAAAAGATGTATTGAATTCAAGTGATCTCAGAATAACACTGACATAACCGAAGTACTTTGAAATCTTTTTTGGAAATACAAGAATTTCTAACATTTCCATCCTTGTTCTCCTGAGTTCTCTTGTTCGTACACCAGAACCTATGCAACCATTCAACTTTCTGTTAGGTAGACTATGTTCCAATCAGGAGTTATTTGGATAGCAGATTCTTCTAGGAATTTTATGTAGAACAAACAGGATGTAGCCAAATCAAAATATTGGTTCCTCTGTGCGATATGACGAACAGCAAAATCCATATATGGGAAACGTGATAATCACAGGAGATATGGTACAAAAGGAAAGTCACGTCCAAGTTCATGAAGGTTACAAAACTCAAAGGAAGTCATTGTTCAAACCACCAGTAACACCATCTCCCCTTGGCCCTTCTTCTGGCCACAGTGGATTACTTTTATGGTCAGTGTCTCAGATTGATTGCAGTTGCCATGGCGACGGCTGACAGTGCAGGGAAGTGGAGGGTGTGGTGATGGGAACAACATGTGAAGTTCATGGAAAGGTCAAGCCCAGGAGGCCTTGTGTGGGAGTAGTGGACAGTCACAGGAGTGTTTTACACCTGATTTCTTGTACTCTTTCCAAGTTTTGTGGGTTAGGATGTGCAAAAGTCCAGAAGAAAAGTTTCAGATCTTGAGGACAAAACTTTAGGTGCTTTATTGGCTCCAAAGAAAGTCAGTCACAATTGATAACTTTGACATTACTGCATTGATGAAGATCAGTTTACTGTACTATTGCCATGTGTTCCTTCAGATGTTTGTTTTTCAAGAATTTTGCTTCCTTTCAATTTCATGTCTATTTGCAAACATACTTCCAGATCTAATCCATATGGATTACCAACACTGGTTGGTGTCTATATGCTAACCATATCTGCCCGACCTCCCTCCATGACAGCATTCCTTGTCATCTCAGTTCTGACATCACCATGGTAACCAGGACCCTCCCCTCCCCTGCCACCAGTGCCTGTCAATCTTCATCAGGCCTGGGGGTGGGACTGACTGAGTCACAGGTCACAGACTTGACCTTTGGTGCAGGGGTCAGGCATGTTGATCCCAACATCATCTCTATGTAACTGGGACAGTATCCAGCCAGCGGCATGGATATAATTAGTTTTACGACTCATTTCTAATGAAATGTTTAAAATCAGGCCAACAGATCTGCACCCTTTCTCTCCTATTTGTCAAGAAGTCTATGGGACCCGCTGATGTTACAGAATCTTCAGTGACAATCAGTTCTTCAGTTTTAGAAAGTTAGCAGCTTATAGACAAGGTGGGGGTGGGATGGGGGTCATAAAGGTTGAAAATTGATAAGACTTTGTCAGCCCTTAGGCCACCCAAAAGTTAACTAGTTTTGTATTGATGAGGTGGTCCCAGAAACCCCTTTTCTGAATGGACACCAGATTATCGAAAACTATCATACGCATTTATGTTTCATCACATATCCCTTTATTTAGAGGTAGTTTCAAGGGATACTCATGGATTGTCTGTCACTTATTTTTTGCAACTTCTTACTTCTTCTTGCCCATTTACCAGTGGAGGAAAGCTAGATCAAAGTACATTTCGATTTTACATAAAACAAAAGTTGCCTGGCCTTATACCATTGCTGACAACTTCAGGAAGCTGCGAGTCAACCGATGGCAAAGTGTTGCTGCATGTTTCTACAGGGTACAGTCAGGTCACAACCGTCATGGCCGAGCAGTTACCACAACTTCAAAGGTGTGTGCCCAGGCAGCCAAAATGGGACTTCAGACAGCCCTAATGCACCAGCAGGGCATCCACAGCACCTGGGACAACATACAGACCCTCAGGGGACGTGGGGGTCAGGGGAGGAATGCCTGCTGGGTTCATTGCGTAGATGGGATGGCGCCTGAAAACCTGTAACCACTGCGAAAACTATCAACGGCTGACATTTTATGGTTTTGCAATATCGCACATCCTTAAGGAAGCGGCTTGGGTGATGGCCAATGTCTTTTTTGATGAATTATCATGACAAGGGCAGAGGCAGATGATCACATCACTTGGAGAGTGCAAACCTTTGCCAAGAGCGTAGACTCCTACCTCAGAGGATTGCTATGCTTGCTATCTGCAGTTCCAAAGGGTGCTACTAGAAATTAGCAATGTCTTCTGATCCAAAAGGAATACACACAGCTTTCATATTTCGGCACTGTATCTTGGATCTCCAAAATGATGCCACACAACA